GGTCTTCTGAAAACACCGTTTTGTCCACACAATGATTGGCCGGGCCCCTTGACGTGCTCAGCAATAGATCTGCACATAGAGGTTGAAGGAGCTAAATAACACTGTGCCTGATAAAGTGAGAAGAACCTAGAAGCCAGTGCTGGTGGCTCGTGCCTATGGTCCTAGCTACTTGGGAGGCTGACATTGGGAGAACAGACAAGGTTCAAGGCTCGCCTGGGCAAATGGTTCACAAGACCCCATCTCCAAATATAATTACAGCAAAATGGACTGGAGAGCAAAGTGGTACCGCACCTACTTTGCAGGCATGAAGCCCTAGTTCAAACCCCAGTCCTATCAAAAAAACCAAAAAAAAAAACCTTGAAGTGCAAGAAGTGATCTAGTAGGAAGGAGAGAAGATAAGAGGCTGGAGAAAAATAGTGGAAAATAGTTAAGGGGCTATTTTAAGAAAGTCTAATATTCAACTTGAAATTGCTTTTTCCACCGGGCAGTAGTGGGTCACACCTGCAATCCTAACTACTCATGAGACAGAGATCAAGATGATCTCGGTTTGAAGCCAGACCAGGGCAAACAGTTTACAAGACCCTATCTCAAAAAAGCACATCACCATAGTAGGGGTGATGGAGTGGCTCAAGGTGTAGGCCCTGAGTTCCAAACCCGGTATCAAATAAAAAGTTTTTCCCCAAACCTTTGGTAATGTATGCTTCAGGAGTGATACCTATGTAAGTGAGTCTCATAAAATCCTAATAAGGAAATAACAGTCAATAATAAACAAAGATGTTGTTTATTGGGTATTTAGTATGTCCTGGGCATTGTGCATAGATAGCTGCTATACTATGTATGTAACCCAGGGAGATGGATATTATGCTCCTTTTTTGGTAAGGAGATTGAGGCTCAGAGAGTTCAAGACACAAGAGCACACTGCCAGCACACTGCAGGTGTAGGATTTGAAACCAGAACTCAGGCTCTTTTCATTACATTGCTTCCCCATAATCATCCCTACACTGTACTTGTAGATTCATTGTCAAGACTCTGTTGTCTCAACGTCATTGACAAGAAACCATCTAAGTAAGGCTGCCCATCTTGTTGGAAATGTAGGCCCCAAAGTGACCACATGGAGAGGCGTGATCTCGCCAAGAGATTCTTTATTGCTGGGTGGGAGAGGGAGAGAGCCAAGAGATAGAAGCAGGAAGGGCAGGGCTTAAATACCCCTCAGTGAGACTTGGCATGATCTGATTGGTTAGGATCTTATGGTTCATGCTGATTGGAGTTGGGCAGAAGGAGAACTCAAGCTAGACTTGAGCAGGACGTGACCCTGGGAAACAGAAGCTTAAGGGTGCAGTAAGAACTGAAACCTATCAGCACCATTATTGCCAACATTCCTCCTTTTTCTGTTTGTTAAGGAAGGGGGGTGTTGTGTTCACTCTGGCTTCTTCAAGCTGGCAAGGGGTGGCATAGGGGAAGGGAGGGTTAGTTGGCAAACAATGTTGGGAGGCTGAGCCAGGATGGTGTACACCCAGGCTTGAAATGAAGAGTTTCCTCTTCCCTGAAGTTTGATGAAGGTCCTTGTAGGCATAGGTATAAGTCTCGAGCAATCCCCGACTCCGCATGGTGGCTAAGCAACTATCTCACGTTTTGGAGAGGTTGGTATCCCTGGAGGTACAAGGTTAAAGTTTTGATTAGCAATGGCAGAAACGCAGTATGATACAAGGGAGTAAGCTTAAGAACAGGAGAGCAAGAACATAGGCATTAGGATGGGCATTGGCCAGGAGACACACTGTGAAATGTTTGTTCCCTAGACATTTCAGAGTCCTCCAACTCCTTCTCCATTTTCTAATTGTTTCTTGAGAGGTGCCACATTGGGGAACCCATTGAGCTTGACAGCAGTGGGTGTCATGGGAATGAACCAGCTGAGGGCTGTCCATCGAAGTCAATGGAGGGGTAGAAGATCCTTTTGGAGACAAGATGCCTGGTTAAATAGAATTGATTATAGGGTGGGGAGGGTCTGGTTTGCATAGCCCCTCGTTCAAATCCGAGTTATGGCACAAATGTTGGAAATGTGGCCCAAAGTGCCACGTGGAGGGAGTGTCTGGCCAAGAGATTCTTATTGCTGGGTGGGAGAGGAGAGAGCCAAGAGCCAAGAGAGGAAGCAGAAAGGGCAGGGCTTAATACCCTCATGAGACTTGGCATGATCTGATTGGTTAGGATCTTATGGTTCATGCTGATTGGAGGTTGGAGCAGAAGGAGGATTCAAGCTAGACTTGAGGCAGGACGTGACCCTGGAAAACAGAAGCTTAAGGGTGCAGTAAAAACCGAAACTTATTGGTGCCATTATTGCCAACACATCTCACAGTGAAATGGCTGTAACCACTGTCAGTTTTTCCAGGTTGAGTTATACCTGTCTCTTCGGTTTCTACACACAGTCTTCCATCTGATGTCTGGGTTGCCCAGAACAAAACGATCCTTGTCTTATGAAGCAGGCTGTCTAATATTTGAAGACATTGCATGGAAGGGTACAGATATGCTGCCCCAAAATATGCCTCTTTGGGTACATTCATTGTTTTGAGCTATAGGCCATTGAAAAACCAGCAGAGCACAGGAAAAGCTACAAAAATAGAGCACACTTTCTTTTAATTTTCCATTTCTGGTGGCTTATGTCCAGAATCTTAGCTACTCACGAGGCAGAGATCAGGAGGATCGCTGTTTGAAGCCAGACTGGGCAAATAGTTTGTGAGACCCTAGCTCCAAAAAAAAAATGCATCAGAAAAAGGGCTGACGGAGTGGCTCAAGGTGTAGGCCCTGAGTTCAAATCCCAGTACTGCAAAAATAAGACTAAAGTGATTTTCCTTTGTTGTCACTTCTCTAAACATTTATTGAAATGTTATGCTAGTTGGAATTCAAAGTTACTTCCCCCCATTCTCCCCACAAGGGTACTGGGTTTAAACTCAGAATCTCCCTCTTGCTAAGCAGGCAGTCTGCCTCTCCAGTTACACCCCCAGCCCTTTCTGCTTTACTTATTTTTCCAACAAGTAGTCTCCTGCTTCTGCCTGGGCAGGCCTAGACCAAGAGCTTCCTATTTCTGCTTCCCAAGTAGCTGGGATGATAGGTATGCATCACCATTCCCAGTTTTTTTTTTTTTTCTTTTGAGATGATGGGTCTCATGACACTCCACCTCGCCCCCACACACACACCATGCTGGCCTGGAACCTTGATTTTCCTGATCTCCACCTCAGGAGTAGCTGGGCTTACAGATGTGAATCTCTGCATTTGGCTTCAAGGTCACTTTTTGAGAACTACCTTGGGTACCTCCCAAGAACATATGAAATAAATGTTAGCGAACATCTGTCTTTCCTTACAGGGGTCTGTTCCAACAAAGGACACACTAGCCTTGAAGAAAAAAATTTTTTTCCTTCCCTAAACCCAGAACACCTACACCAGTTTCTGGGTGGTCGATGTTTCTCTTTGTGCTATACGATTTGTTGGACTAATACAATCTAAAAAAGGGACTCTCATCTCATTGTCACATTTTTTTACACAACTCAAGAGTTGACCACCACAGAGATATGAAGTGTTATCCCATACCAGTGAAACCAGAGTTTTGAACCTAAGGCTCAAATTCCTGAGATTTCATATGCCACATCCAGCCACCTGCCTCTAAACGCCAAATGCCAAATAGAAAGGCATGGTGAAGGCAGAGTAAGCACTCAGCTCATCTTCAGCCATCTTTGGGGTACAGACATGAGGTATAGGTTTACATAGACAAAGACTTAGTGGTAGGGGACTAAAGGTATGCATAGTTAAACAGTTTCAGTCACAAGTCGGTCATTATCTCAATCTTTGTTCTGGGAGAGTTGTTATCTGGAGCCAGGCAGATGGTCCATCCAAAGGAAAGTCTACTGTTGGGTGTAGTTTCTGTCTCTTGTTATGAAAATGTTATCTGTCTTTCCAAGAATCCAAGGTGATCACAAAGGGACTGCAAAGAGAATGGGTCAGAGCAGACAGATACAAAACAGAGGCAGGGATACCAAGCTTCTCCTGTTTTTAGTTAATTCGTGGGCCCAAGAAGGAGTCAGTGCTTTTCAGAAAAAGCAGTTTGAGAACCTCTTAACATCAGTAATATTTAATTGATATTCATGCTTAAGGCAAAGTAACTTTCCTGCATCTAAGGCTCACCAAGCTGTTGGGGTGTTTGTATAGGAGGTAGCAGTGGAGAGAAGAGACAAGTGATTTTTAGTAGTAACTGCAGGCTTTGGAGCTCTATGGGCTTAAACTAACGTAAGAAATTGTCTAGTCCTATGTCGATTTTTTAGAAACCTGGAAAGGGTGGAGCAGCCACACTGTGACCCTAAGAGGAGGAAGCTTAAAATGCATTGCTGACCATGCCAAGCATGCCGCAGCTGGGCTCCAGGGTACTACAGTCGCTGTGAGGTTGTTTAGCGTCACATTCCCAGTGGTTCACGGTCATGTCTATGTGCTACTGCTTGGCAAGGTGGGCATTTTGAACCTCTGAGTCTGTTTCTTCACCTGTTAAACGGAGGCCTTGATTGGAAGGGGCGTTTCTGGAACGCGCTCTCAGCAGGCGACCCCGGCGTGCGGGAGCAGAGGGTGGCCGTGTCCTGGAAGCTTCTGGCCTTGAGACCGCCAGTGAAAACGGAGCGGGAAGGTGGCATTTGTTACAATAGGGCGAGATTTGCGATAGCACCCGCAAGCGTCCCAGGAGCTGGTGAAGGGTCACCGCACAGGATGATCGCTGGGCGCTCAAGGACCAATCCAGTCGCCGTATGCCTCAGTGGCCCCACCCAGTAGGCGGAGCTGCCTCTGGCTCCCATAGCGACTGCCCGCTCGCCCCTCCCCTTTCCAGGCCCCGCCCCTAAAGAGGCAGGGCTCTGGCGAGGGGGTGGGGTTGCGGCGGTGACAGCCGGAGCCCGCCCCCGCGGCCCGCCACGTCTGGCACGTCGTGCCTGGCCTCTGCGAGGAGCGGCGAGCTGGCGCCTGGGGGCTCCGGCTCCTCCGGCGGGGCTCGGCATGAGGCTGGCGCGGCTGCTGCGCGGGGCCACCCCGGCCGGCCCCGGCTCCCGGCCGCGCACCGCCAGCCCCAGCGCCAGCCGCAGCCTCGCCTCGGATTCGGGCTCCGGCCCGCCGTCGGAACTCGGCGTTCCGGGCCAAGTAGATTTCTACGCGCGCTTCTCGCCGTCGCCGCTCTCCATGAAGCAGTTCCTGGACTTCGGTGAGTGCGGCTCGGGCCTCGGGCCTTTGTGCGCGGCCTGGGCGGGCCGCGCTGGCTCCCTCTAGCCCCGGGGGCGCCCCCCTCCTGCGCGTCGCCTCCCCCTGCGCGGTAAGGCGCTTCCTTCCTTGCTAAATAACTGGGGCGTGTGGCTTTTAAACGCTCTGCGGTCGGTAAACAACCCTTGCAGCGCGGAGCGCGGTGCCGCCTCCCTGCGCCAGCGTGCAGGTGCGCGCCCAGGGCCAGGCCGGCTCCTCTGGTGTCGCGTGCGGGGTCTGCGCGCGGACGGTGATTGCACACCGCTGGCGCGGTGCCAGCAAGCAAGTTGTAACCGGCGCAGGGTTTCTGGAGAGTGTTGTCTTTGCCAGTGGTTTGAGGGGGGGGTTCCACCCACCGCACGTTATCAGCGGCACAGGTCGCAAGAACGTGTAACGTGCACGAGTCCAAGGGGGTGCCGACTGTGCCACTTTAAACCCTGGCTTTCTCTGGAAGGTGTGTGACAGATGGCAGAAAGCATTGCAGAGTTAGGCATTTTTTTTTGGCTTTGATTTCTCATGGGGATGATGACCTCTCATCGTCATCATCATATTAAGGAGAAACTTAATATTACACTGCGATAAAGTCCTACTAAAGTTTCAGTTAGGAAAAGTTAATGTCTGAATTGTGAGTGCTATCAGGTGACAAACATTCTTACAGGCTTGGAAGATAACCAACATGGCTGGCATTAAATTTAAGCTTTATCTTAAAACTGTGGTTTGCAGTGGCAGGCTTTTTTTAAAACCCAAAACCCTCAGTTTTTGTTTCTGCTTTTAATGAGTGTTTTGTGGATGATGGGTGAATTTGACTTTGTTCACAAGTATGCCATTGAACTTTCACAAAATGTTTTCTTTTTATACGGTGATTCCTGCTGTTAACAGTGTAGTTTTTTGCTAAGGTTTCGTATGCTAAAGCAGCAAGATTGGATTAGCTTAAAATGCATTGCTGAAATAGGACTTTTTAGTTTTAACTTTAAGTGAAACTGCTTGCCTGGGGACGTTCTACAGCTGTTGTGTAAAGCATCATGATACAGGAGTGCAGAAAGGGGCAGGTGACTTCCTAGGAATCAGACAATTGACTAGGTCCTACTTGAAGATGGTGGGTTTTGCCTTCTGTTGTCATTATTTATGGTCATTAGTATTAGTGGTTATATATGGAATCATTGAATCCATGCACCAATCAAAATTATTGTTTCTTAGATAGATGTACACTCTTTATGAATCTAGAATTAGGAAACAATTTTTCCTACTTTAAATTTTGTTTTTTGGTGACACTGAGGTTTGAACTCAGGGCCTACACCTTGGCCCACCCCTCCAACCTTTTTTTTTGTGAAGGGTTTTTTTCCAGATAGGGTCTTGCGAACTGTTTTCTTGGGCTGGCTTCGAACTGAGATCTTCCTGATCTCTGCCTCCTGAGTAGCTAGGATTACAGGCATGAACCACCAGCACCCTGCTAGGAAGCAAATTTTCTAAACCATAACAGCAGCTAGCTATATTAGTTGGCATTTCTAGGTTCTACTGTTTGGTTCTGAGCCTTACTCAGACATGCTCAAGTTATCTTAGTTCGAAGATGGATTGTAAGGATGGAAATAGGGATATAGAAAAGTATCTACTGTTTTACAGAGACATTGGGTATCAGGAATTGGAAGATCATTCTGGGTTCATGATAACTTTAGACCTGGACATACCTTTGTCTCCTAGTCCCTTCCCCATCATTACAGAGATTCTGCCACTCTGGGTTTTCTCTCTGTTTCCTGGCTTCAGATGATCTATGGCTTCTACTTACCGCTGTTCCCACTGTGTTTGGTTGCAGGGTCAGTAAATGCTTGTGAAAAGACCTCATTTATGTTTCTGCGCCAAGAGTTGCCTGTTAGATTGGCAAACATAATGAAAGAAATCAGTCTCCTTCCAGATAACCTTCTCAGGACCCCATCTGTTCAGTTGGTACAAAGCTGGTAAGATTCCCATACTCTGCAATTTCTGTGAACTTACAGACTTTTCTCAAGGTTAAAGCAGTTTTTTTCTTTACTCTTCAGTGGAATCTTAAGGTAATAGCAGTAGTTCTCCTTTGCTGTGTGTATGTGCATGCACACAACCTAGGCTTTTTTTTTGGAAACAGCTCAAGCTGGCCCTCCAACTTACGATCCTTCTATTGCCACCTCCTGATTAAAAGTGTATGCCATCACCCCCAGTTTAGGTTTACCTTCTTAATCCTGGACTTTACCACTCCTTGGTTTTGAAAAAAAAACAATCAGACCTGTACAGAAATATACAGATACTAAATTTAAGGTTTATGTTATTAAATCTGCAGGGATAAGAAAAATATCTAGCATTGGTTGATAGCTAGATATTTATACATTCATTATCTTTCATTCTTCAATAGCCCTAGTCAGTAGGTATTATTAACTCCATTTTAGAAGTGAGGAAGCTGAGGCACTTAAAGAATGAAGTCCTTCCACTGATAGTGGAGCTCTGGGATTCAAGCCCAAGTTTGGCTGTCTCACCAGGCTGTCATCACATGATGAAATGTACTCAAGGGCATATATATTTTTTATAAAGTGAATTTATTTTATTGAAGTTTATCTTTTTGTAAGTCACAAAAGTTAAAACTTTTCTTGTCTTATTAACATATTTTATTGTATATATTAATAGGTTCATTGTGATATTTTAATGTGTGCATTCAGTGAGTACTGATCATATTCTTCCATTTAAAACACAGTTGTTAGAATTATATAGAAATTGTGATTCCTATTCCTCAAAATGACAGTAAAGGTTTTAAGGGTGTGTGTTCATATGTGGGGATCTGCAGCCTTTTAAAATTCATTTTAGTATTACTCTTAAAGATTTGGCCAGAGTTAAGCTTTAAATTAGAAAAATTTAACTGAAATATATTTCCCGATTACGATTCATGGGCATCTTGACTTTCCTTTGGTAGGCATAGTTTGTGAGAGAAGCTGATCTAGCATCAGTTAAAAATATGCAAATGAAGTTTTGACTGCTACATATGTAAGAAATAGGCTAGCTAGTTCAAGTATGGAACAGTTATAAATGTGGCTTAAGTAAGAGGCATAGGTTTAGAAAGTACCATGAATATAAAGGAGAAAACAGAATTTTCAAAGGAAGTTTTTTTTCTGTGCCTTAAAATTCTTCATTAAAAATTGCATGTCCTACTTTTTTAAGTTGGTCTTGCCTAGCATGGGACAGGTATTCAAATACCTATTGAATAATGAGCATAGTTTTTCTTGTTCATGAAGAGAAAATTAAGGCTTAGAACAGAACAGCACCCATCAGAATCACTCAACCTAGAGCACAGTGAGGCCTCTTGCTTTGTCTGGAACAGCTTTCCAAACCACCATGTGTACTTTCAGATCTTAAAACACTTGCATTGCCCCTGGGTGCCTGCTAAGTTAGGGCAGTTGTGGATAAAGTGCTTACAGACAAGCCAAGCAGGTCAGGGTAGTTGAATAGCTGTGAGGTATTTTTAACCCCTGCTGTACAGTGCCATTGTACCTGGCTACATGAAAGTTGTTTGGCTTTTCTTATTTTGGTCATTAGTGCTTTGCTACCTTGAATTGTAAGGTAAATTGAAAACCAGTGTTTTTTGACTTTTTTTTTGGTTTATTGGGGTTTGAACTCAGGGCTTTGTGCTTACTAGGTACGTACTCTACTGCTTGAGCCATGCCTCCAATCCTTTTTGCCCTGGTTATTTTTGAGATAGGGTTTTGTTTTCTTCCCATGCTGGCCTGTGGGCCTAAACTGTTGTCTTCCTATTTATGCTTCCTGCAGTAGCCTGGAACTCTGATCCTCTTCCCCATCTCCGCCTACCCACTTCAGAGTGGCAGTACAGGCGTGAACCACTGTGCCTGGCTCATTTCGTGGTGTTTGTGTTTCGTTCAGCTCTGTTTAAAAGAAGCATATGGTAAATTATAGACTTTCAATAAAATGTTTTTGACTGGACCGAATGTCTAAAGTTAAAGTTTTAAAGCACAAACATAAGTTAGAGTAGACTCTTAAAGCAAGGGAAGCTGTTCTTATTTTACTGAGACTAAGACAAGTATTTGTCCAGGATCACATAGTTTAGCGGTGACAAATTCAGTTCTCATGATAGTTATTATTTTCTTCTGGCGGTACTGGGATGCATCATGATAATTATTATTTACCATTGTATATAGCCCTATAATGTACAATGGATTTAAAAGACTGAAAAACTATTTTAGGGTAAAGAACTCAAAAGGGAATAGGATCTATTAATAGAAACTATTAAATCAAGTTTGACCTATGCGTTTTGGTTTTTTTTTCTGTGCTGAGGATTGGCCTTATGCATGCTAGGCACGTGCTCCACCACTGAGCTACACCCTCCAGCTCCGACCTGTGCTTTAAAAGGCAGAAATGTGTACCTTCTACTACTTTGTGCTGGGCACTTTTTTCGAATATGAATGGGTACGAAAATCCCACTTCAACCATAATTTATGGCAACATTCCAAATTAGAAATTTTAAAATAGTTTTTGAGCTGACTTTCACAATATTTAATTTTTGGGATGTAAAAGAGCAAACTTGACCCTACTAATTTGCATTTTAGGTATATCCAGAGTCTTCAGGAACTTCTTGATTTTAAGGACAAAAGCGCTGAAGATGCTAAAGCTGTTTATGAGTAAGTATGCTCGTTGGACCCTATTCTGAACACAGTTTTTATATCCTTTAAGCATCATATAAAAATGTAAATGTGTTAAATCTGCTATTGGACCACTTGAGGGAAATAAACAGTTTCATTCCCACTACTTTCAAACATATGGCAGTAGATGTATTTAAAGCAGCCCATAATGTACAAGGCAATTAACATAAATTAGTGAGTTGAGCTGGATACATGAAATGCTTCATGTTCTTCTTTCCTGTAAGAAAAGTCAAAGTTCACGTGGCCTTAGTTCCACTTGGACTGTTAATCTGGAGAGAACATGATCCTTCCAGCAGATCATTGCCTTGTGCAACTGCTGCCCAGATTATCTTGAGTTTTTTGTTTTCAAAGAAAAGCTGCAAGTCTAGATTTTTAATGCAAAACTCCCAATTCTGAAAGATTGGTAACTAATTAGAATTCTTTTGTTATATGGAAGGTCTATAAAAACATGATTATGGGTGTCTTTGACCTGTAGCTTATAAGATAGTGTTAAGTAATTTGACCAATTTCATAAACAGCATGCTGGAATTTATAAACCCAAGTAGTTGCACCTCAGGCAGTTATCTGCTTATTCCAGTGAATGTTGTTCAAAACTTAAAAACTACTTCTTGTCCTCAGAAACTGCTACACATTTTTTGTACTGTCTTTAAAGGGAATGGCACTTCATTTTTTAAACATGCTTTTGGTCTGAAAATAACATTCATCACAAGTTCACTCTGTGGCTAGGTGTGGAATAGATTTTATGTTAGTGATGCATTTAGTGTTTTAAAATAACTACTGAGAGACAATGCATTTGTGCAAGAAGAGGGTAAGTGACTTGAAGTCCTAGCAAACGGTAGGACCAGGATTTGGACCCAAGCAATCTTACATAAAAGTAAACATTAGAACCCTCTATAGAGGGTATAAAATCTGAAAACAGAGCTAAACCTAAAAAATAGGTGAGCAGTCATGCAGAATAATACTAGTTTTTATTAAAAGAGAAAGATGAAATAAATTAGTAAAGAGGGGACTGGAATTATGAAATGTTTGTTGTCGAGGAATTTTGTTTATATTTTGGTTTAATTGTTTTGTTTTTTAATTTTTTGAACTCAGGGCCTACACCTTGAACCACTCTACCATTGCTTTTTTTGTGAAGGATTTCTCAAGATAGGGTCTCAAGTGCTGTTTGCCTGGGCTGGGTTCAAACCTTGGTCCTCCTGATCTCTGCCTCCTGAGTAGCTAGGATTACAGGCGTGAGCTACCAGCACCTGGCCCAATAGTTTGGTTTCTAAATTAATTACAACAGGGAATTCCAAACATGTTTTGAGCAGTGAGAACATCATTGAAATAAGTTAATAGTACTCTAGGTGGTGACTCCGAGAGGGAAAGTACTCATTTTGAATTATGAATTCTGGAAGTGACTATGTTACAGGTTTTGCTATTTCATCATTAAGACTTATTTTGTTTCCTTAAATTAACCATGCAGTGTCTTCTAAGTGACAGAAATGGGAAGGTTGTATGATGTGAAAATTTTTCTTTTAATGCACTTTTCCATTTTATAAGCTCATAGGATGAGTAAAATTAGAGTTTTTTAAAACTTTCTAAGTGGCAGTCTCTGTCATTGAGCCCTAGAGAATAGTTCCAAAACAAAACAGGCTTCATTGTTCACTCATCTTGATTTCTACAAATCATGTGTTCCCTAGAAGCAAGTCCTCTGCCACCTTTTATGCAGAGTGTCCTGAACTACCATCCTAATAGTGACTGCTCAGGTGACCATAGTTGATAAAGGCTAAGGAAAACCCTTAACACATTTATGATTGTGTTGAGTGGCAGCCTTACTCTCAGGAATACAAGAATTAAATTTCAAAAGTTTTATTGTAGAGGTCCTTAGACCTTCGTGGATTTGGTATATTTTATGATCCGAGACAATTAAGTATAGGAAAACATGCACTGGTGTTTCTTTTACTGAACTAGTGGTTTCTTGTCTGCTGTAGTTGCTTAAGTAGGTACTTTAGATTCACTTGTCAAATATTTGGCTGTTTTGACAGATAGGTTTGTTTAGCTTTACAGATACTGTGATAAGGATCAGAAACCGACACAATGATGTCATTCCCACGATGGCTCAGGGTGTGACTGAATACAAGGAGAGCTTCGGAGTGGATCCTGTCACCAGCCAGAATGTTCAATACTTTTTGGATCGATTCTACATGAGTCGCATTTCAATCAGAATGCTACTCAATCAGCACTGTAAGTGTCCCAAAGTTAAAAGAAGCAGGTAGATAATGTGTTGTCATATTTTAAATTTATTCAGAAATCTTCCCTTTAGAGAGAACATTTAGTTTTTATCTTTTTCCTTACTAAGAAAAGTAAATAGCCTGCCATACAAAGTCGGTATTTTTTACTGAATATAAAATGCCATGTTCATACTTAAGAGCAGTGTTTGTTCTACTCTTGAGTACTATTTAGAGAAACAGTACTCAGATCAGGAAAAGGGCATCCAGTACATTTGCTTATTTTATTGTTTATTTTTTGGTAGCTTTATTGTTTGGTGGAAAAGGAAGTCCATCTCATCGAAAACACATTGGAAGCATAAATCCAAACTGCAATGTAGTAGAAGTTATTAAAGGTAAACACATTTCTCCTTCTAAAAGGATGCCGAAATCAAAATGTTGAGTGTTGCTTCTTACTGTTAAACATTTATTCATATAATGAGAGAAAATGTTAGGAACAGATGTGTCGGTTTGAAAATCACCTTATAACGTTAATTGTGTATTATGTATAAGACGAATGTTTTGTTGATACAATTCTTTGGTGATTCTATCAAGTGTATCTGTTTCCCTGCAAAAAGTTCAGGTCCCTCTCTACCCTTTCTGATGCTTTCTACTAGGAGCAATAATTCTTAACAGTTTGGTTTTGTACTTTTTCATACTTTTTTTTTTCTGTTTGTATCATGTGTGCATATCCATGTACAAAATTGTTGTTAGTTTTACATTTTTATTGTTTTAAGAATATGGGATGCGCTATATGTTTTTCTACAAGTTTACAGCTATTTTACTATGTCAGTATATATAGATACACCATAAGTTTCTGAGTGGCTATGTAGAATGTGTCAGTATGTATTAATCTACCCTCCTCTTGATGTACACTTAGGTTGTTTTCATTTGTTTGTGCTACCAGCAGTATTTCAGTGAACATTCTCTTAAATTGGTTTTTTTTAGTATTTTGCTAGTATTTTATAAGGCAAGATTTCTAGAATTTAAAACATTTAAATGAATTTAAAATTTTGATACCTTCAAAAAGAAAAAAAAAGGGTTTAAACAGTGGGTAAGAGTGCCTGTTTTAAAACAAACAACAACAAAAAAAGAGCCTTTTTCCCAAACTCTCACCAGCTGTTTTTGATAAGTATATTATAAATATTTTCTTTAACCCGCTGTTTTTCTTTTGGTTGGTTTATGATATCTTTTTACATACAGATGTTATTTATCTTTTTGTGGTTCTGTCATTTTTCTTTTATGGCTATTAGGCTTTGTCATGTGAAAGACCTTCCCCAGACTAAGATTATTTAAATGTATTTTCTCCTATAGAGAGTTTTAATCTCATTTGTCAATGCTGTTACCATCTTACTGCGTAAAACAGAAGTAAATTTATTTAATTCTTTTTTGTTTTGTTTTGATTCACACTAGATGGCTATGAAAATGCTAGGCGTCTTTGTGATTTATATTATATTAACTCTCCTGAACTAGAACTTGAAGAACTAAATGGTAAGCCTGCCTGGTGTTGTCTTTTCCTCAGTGACTAGTGTTATGACTACTTGAGAAGGAGTCCTAAGAGAATTTAGATTTGTTTTGATAGAAAAGGACTTTTTCATCAACTTTTTCACTGGATAGACTGAAGAACAATCATACAAGACACGTATGTGTGTATATATACGCAAATATACATAATTTAGTCGAATTCCTTATGAAAAACTGTTTGGCCTTTTCTGCTCCATTTTCCTTGATTTAATTGTTAACTATGATTCTTTGCTTGTTTTTTATTTTCTGGTAGTCATAGAAAAAATGATGCCAAGAAAAATTACATTTGACTTTTAGATATACTTCAATAGTACAAGGTTTATCCTTTTTTCTACTTCTTGAGTTGTAAGTCATTTTTTATTGTTGAGAAAGTCACAAGTCGGAGGCTGTAAAACAGGATAGAAAGATGCTCATCATTTCTTTCTGAGGGTCTTCTTTTCACCTTTTTGGACAAAAAGAATTTAGATGTCTTGGATGGAGATTAAGGGTCTTACTGTTTTCCTGGAGAAATGGTGGTTTGACAGAGAGAAACATTTCCTGAGTTACAATGATACTTTTAAGAATGTGGCAGAAGAAATAAAATTAAATAGGCTTTTACTAAGCCATAATCTAATACTCAGAGTGGGAGAGCAGTGGACTGACTGACCTAGTTGAAAGTAGAATTTGCTTGGTGGCTTTCTGAAGCATATTGAGTCTTGGTTCATGATAGACTCAATGCATAAATGATGCTCTGGAACCTGAACTTCTGTGAGCACTTTCCAGATGTCCCATTCATGTTCCAAGTTTATTTAGAGCAGAGTCTGATTATGGGTTGAATTAGAGTTGATGTGTTGGTCAAATTATTCTAAAGCATGGTGAGTCTCTTTGCTCTGCTAAAGGTCTCCACCTGACCTAATTGAGCTCTATCAAATATTTGGATGTAGAATTTGTACTCCTTGAGAAATTGATGCTAGCTTAATTTTTTTTTTCAGTTCTACATCCATAGAAATGCCTGAGGTAAAATAGACAATGTGAAACATTTAGAAAGTGGCTTTTTTTTTTTTTTAAGTCTCTCTTTGGAAAGTATAATTTCTATCTAAGATTGAATGTCCTTGAAAAAGACTTACCATCACAGGAAAGTGTGGGAGGATGGGTTGGTTAATTCATTATGCCAAATTGTGAGGAATAACCACAGGATTCTTGTCATTGTCAGCCATAAATGTTTGTGAGTATGAGGTTCACACATGAATAGTGTGAAGAAATGGTGTGACAATTCTCCCCCAAATAATACTGCCCTCCATAGTTAATGTTTTCCTTTCATCACTACACAATTTATTCTTAAGAATGCTTTAAGTACATCTCTCTGTACTTTCATATTTTTCTCTTCTGCTCTGTAGCAAAATCACCAGGACAGCAAATACAAGTGGTTTATGTACCATCCCATCTCTATCACATGGTGTTTGAGCTTTTCAAGGTTTGTAAAATAGTATTGCATAATCTTTGTCAGTCTTTGCCTTAGGAGAGGGATCTGCTATGAAAGTCATGTTTTCCTTTGGGTTCTCGTGTTTCACTAAAGGATGTCATTTCATGTCATTACCATGCTACACTGCTAGAGAGTAAGCCTTTTGTCAACATGGACGGCCACCTCCATGTAGTGCTGAGCCCAGACTTCGCATCCATTATGACCTGAGTATGAATTCTAGTTCTGTCACTTGTTATGTGACCTTGGGCATTCATTCAGCCTCTTCAAGCCTCAGTTTCCTCTTCTGTAAAACAAGAATAATCCCATCAAGGATTATTTATGAAGATTGGGAATAACATACTAAGTGACCAGTATGGTGACAGCACACTGTAGGTGCTTCATAAGATTATATTCATATTTTTATAAGCCAAATAGTTAGATTGATTCTTAGTTTTCCACCCTTGAATCCTACTGATATGCCTGCCCTTTTTTTTTCTTCCCAGAGTGAGTCATTTATATTATTAGCCAGATATGGTGATGCACATCTATAAACCCTGCTGCTCAGGAGGCAGAGGCAAGCTAAAGGCCAGCCTGGGTAGAGTTAGTGAGCAAATTATGAAAACAGAAGGGCTTGGGGCATGGCTCAAGAGGTAGAGAGTTTACCTAGTATGCTGGAGGCCCTGGGTTTAATCTTATTTCTTCCTCCTTCCCCCCCCCCCCGCCAAAAAAAGTCATTTATATTGACTTACAGGGCTTGTGCTATTATATTTGCCGTTTACAATAAATTTGAAAACTAAATAAAATTATGCTGGTAATGTTGAAAATGCCACGCACACCCCAAAACACACACACTCAGTGATACTTGCTGGTTGACAGGAAGGTAGGTGATGAGTGGCACAGGTCCCTGTGACCGAAAATGACTGAATGACTGCCCTATCAGAAGGCCGTAGTCTGTCTCTCACTTTAGCTACCATGTCTTCAGCAAGCAGCAGACTGATTGTCTCAGAAAGCAAGAATTTAAGAATGCCTTTTTTTGTTCAAAGACAGCAAGAATGCATCTGATACTTTATAGAAATCTTCAAAGTGGTTAAATAGCTGTTGGCATTAAAATGTCAAAACTTTTTCCTTGAAATTTCTTGTGTCCTGTGCTGTTTAGTAGAAAAATTCATACTCCACAATGTATTTTACATAATACCAGTAACAGTGACTTTAATCTGGAACCTACTTTTTTTTTTTTTTTCTATTTTTTTGCAGTACTGGTGTTTGAACTCGGGGCCTACACTTTGAGCCACTCCACCATCTCTTTTTTTGTGATGGGTTTTTTCAAGATAGGGTCTCAAGAACTATTTGCCCTGGCTGGCTTTGAACATCGATCCTCATGATCTTTGCCTCCTAAGTAGGTAGGATTATAGATATGAGCCACCAGTGCCTGGCTTGGAACCTAATCTTAAACTACCTTTGAGAGAGAGTATTCAGTCTCCTCAGGGCCGCTCGCTCTTAATTCCAGATTTACTCACAGCATTTGCCTTTTTTAGTTGCATCGTCTTTTATCAGTTTCTACAACAGTGCTGCGTGTCATGGTGTTAGTGTTATGCTTACAATATGTTGGCATTGTGTATCTCATATCCTTTAGAAATTGATCAAAACAGTTCTACAATGTAAATATCCTTAGTTTCAAACCAGAGGTAAGGGAAACTATCATAATAAGACCATTGCTGTTACTACTGTGTGAAAAAAATGATTTTCTCTTTAAGAAACTTGACATCCCAGACACGCCTATAATCCTAGCTACTTGGAAGGCAGAGATCAGGAAGATCGAGGTTGGAGGCCAGCCTGGATAAATAGTTCTTAAGACTTTATCTCGAAAATGCTTAACACAAAAAAGGGCTGGTGGAGTGGCACAAGTGGTAGAATGCCTATCTAGCAAGTGTGAGGCCCTGAGTTCAAGTCCTAGTACTGCAAAAAAAAAAAAATTGACATCCCAGCTATGCAGGAGGTGTGGGTAGAGGATCGTGGGTCATAGCTGGCCCCTGGCTAAAAGTATGAGACCCAGTCTGAGAAATAACTGAAGCAAGAAAGGACTGGAGTATGATTCAGATGAGGCCCTGAGTTAGAAAGAAAGGAAGGAAGAAGGGGAGAGAACGGGAGGGAGGGAAATTAGACAAACTGAGCTGATATTTTTCAAAAATAAGTTTTGTCTGTTATCTAATAGAATTATAAAAGTGAACAGAAATTTTCTGCTTTAATGTAAATTAGGTAAAGTGTTTAGAAGACTAGCTTTGGAAATTTCGCAGCATTTAGTTGGAATTTTTAAATCAAAATATCCTTCAAATGCCCTAAAGATGACTCAGCTTTTTTAAAAAAGTAAATGTGGTTATAAGAATTATTATTATTCAGCATATTTCTATTGGATTTAAAATTTTTAAAGTTCATGCAGTGCATATGTCCTTGAAAATTATAATTAGTGTCTCTTTTTTTAAAGTTGTATTTTAATGTAATCGTAATGTATTTCAGAATGCGATGAGAGCAACTATGGAACACCATGCTGACAAAGGTGTTTACCCCCCTATTCAAGTTCATGTCACACTGGGTAATGAGGATCTGACTGTGAAGGTAAATTATTTTCTAATTGATGTACAGGCATGTAAAGATAAACTCATAGTGTCTAGAAGACATAGCTCATTCTCGAGAAAGAAAGCTAGCTTTAGATAATAAGCACATTGCTTCATTTATCTGGCAGACTGTAGAATTACTTCAAGTCTGTTTCTGTTCTTGTCCCTAATCCAGATAATTCAAGTCAAAGTTAATCTTGGGCACAGACAGTTTAGCAGTAATCATGAATATCTAAATCTAAAATATTTGGGTATTTGCATTGGAATATATAATTTTTCGTTTTTAAAGAAAGCCTTTCAGTCTGCTTTGTTTCATTTGATCCCTGTAACAGCTCCTTAGTAGCCCAGGTAATTTTATCTTCAATTTCACAGATGAGGAAACTAAGACAGTGATTAGTTCAGGAACACACAGGAAATAAATGCCATGGCACATGAAATCCAGTCCACTGACCCGAGTGCTCGGCCTTTTCATTTCAATGCTCAGATAACTCAGTTTATTTAGAGTACGATGGTGTTTTAAATAATCAGGTAAAATACAGAGTATAAAAATCAAACATGTCAGTTCTACACAGAGAGTAGTTCAGTTATTTCTTCTGACAGTTACTGCTATCTTTCTAAGGAGTATTCTGGTGCTGCTATTTTTGAAGGTTTTGCATTTTAAATAACAAATACTAGCTTTCTGTGACTGCAGCTGAGGAGTGCTCTCTTAAATGGAGCACTTGTTCCCTCTCCTACCCCAATCCCGAGTGCCACTTCCCCTGCATTGTTTCTCCAGTATTTGAGTTCTTACATGGAATTCAAGGTTGAAAGTAATCATCTTGCAGAATTTTGAAGGCACCCACTCTTCTTTTTTTTTAAAGTTACATTGCTGTGGTTTTTAGTATATTCACAAGATTATGCAACCTTCACTATGGTCTATTCTAGAACTTTTTTCATTACTCCCAAGAAAAATCTCATTACCCATTACTAGTCACTATCCATTTCCCTCTCTCTCCAGCCCTTGGCAACCAGTAGTCTCCTTTCTCTCTGGATATCCCTACTGTGTACATTTCATACCAATGCAATTTCACATAAATGCAGTATGTCATCTTGTGCCTGGCTTCTTTGACTTAGTATAATGTTACAGTGTGTATCAGTAGTTCATTCCTTTGTATGGCTCAATAATCTTTTAAATGTGTATCTCATTTTGGTTATCCATTCATCAGTTGACAGGTTTTCTTTATTACCATTTTTTGGCTGTTGTGAATCATACCACTATGAACACTCACGTATAGGTTTTTGTGTGAAAGTACATTTCAGTCTTAGGAAGGTATCTAGTTGAACTGTTGAGGTAATCAGTGTTTAACTTTGGAGGAGCTGCCAGTCTGTTTTCCAGAGTGACTGCACCCACATTCCCATCAGCAGTGTCCTTGTCAGCACTTGTTATTGTCTTTTTGATTGTGAGTGTGAAATGGCATATTATCGGTAGGTTTCTTTGTTTTTTGCCATACTGAAGTTTGAACTCAGGGCCTTCACCTTGAGCCACTTCAGCAGCCCTTTTTGTGATGGGTTTTTTGAGATAGGATCTCATGAACTATTTGCCTAGGCTGACTTTCAACCTTGATCCTTCTGATCTCTGCCTCCTGAGTAGCTAGGATTACAGGTGTGAGCCACTGGCTCCCAGTGTCATCTGTAGTTTTGATTTGCATTACTCTACTGATTGATGACATGTTCTTTCCATTTGCCAATTGGCCATTTGCATATCTTTGAGGAAATGCCCATTAAAATCCTTTGCACAGTTAAGTGGGCTGTTTGTCTATCTTTTTATTGGTGGGATGTAAGGATTTTCACTTTAGGCACATTACATATATATGATAATAGTCCCTAATGATATGTGTGATTTACAAATGTGATATGATCTCCTATTCAGTGGGTTCTTTTCACTTTCTAGATGGTCTCCTTTGAAGCATAAAATTATAATTTTGAAAAATTTCCACTCTGTTTTTCTTCTTTTATTGTGTTTTCTTTTGCACAGCTAAGAAACCATTGCTTACTTGAAAGTCACAAAATTAACTTCTTGAGCTTCATAGCTTTATTATTTTTAAATTTATTTATTTGTACTGGGGTTTGAACTCAGGGCCTATACCTTGAGCCACTCCACAGCCCTTTTTTTATGATGGGTTGTTTTCAGGACAGCATTTCGTGAACTATTTGCCTGGGCTGGCTTCCAACTGCAGTCCTCCTGATCTCTGCCTCCTGAATAGCTGTAATTACAGGCATGAGCCACCGGCACTCAGCTTAGTTTTATCTTTTACATTTAGGTCTTTGATTCATTTAGAGTTGATTTTCATGTGTGGCTCATTGTGGGAGTTCATTGTTTTGTGCAGATACCCAGTTGTCCCAGACCCTTTGTAGAAAATCTGTTCTTTCCCTATCGAGTTATCTTGTTACCTTTGTCAAAAATCCTTTGGTCATAAATGTATGGGGTTTATTTCTGGATTCTCAGTTATATTCCATTGATACATATTTTTCTCCTATGCCAGTGCTTATTTCTATCTTGGCTATAGTAGCTTCAAGTTTAGAAATTGGTGAAGTGTATATGTCTTACAACTTTGTTTTTCCTTTTTAAGGTTCTGGCTTTTGTGGGTTTTTTTATATTTCCATACTCATTCTAGGATGAGCTTGTCTGTGTCTACACAATGCCAGCTAGAATTATGTTTGGCACCAGTTTTGGAAGTATATTGCCTTTCCACTTATATAGGTTTTTCTTTAATTTCTTTCAACAGTATTTTGTGCTTTTAGTGTACAGTTTTGCACTTCCTTTGTTAAGTTTTTTCCTAAGTATTTTATTTTTTTGATGTCATTGTAAATGAAATTGCTTTCTTAATTCCATCTTTAGATTGCTCTTTGCATATTGCATTCTGAGCACACGTTCTCCCACTGAGCCACACCCCCAGCCTTGTGTACGTTCTTGTATCCTCCATCTTTGCTGAACTCACTTATTAGCTCTAATAATTTTTTGAGGATTTCTTAGGATTTTCTCTTTTTGTGTCATCTGCAAATAGATAAAATTACTATTCCTTTCAGTCTAGTGTTCTTTTCTTGCCTAATTAATGTGTCTAGAACCTCTAGTACAGTGTTGAATAGAAGTGATAACAAGAGACAGCTGTCTTTTTCCTGACCCAGTTACATTTAATCTTAGCTGTGGGTTTTCCATAGTTACCATTTATCAGGTTGTGGAGGTTTTCCTCTTAGTTTTTATCAGGAAAGGTTTTGTCAAGTGCTTTCTTTGACAAACATTGAGATCATGTGGTTTTGGTCTTCATTCTAGTAGCGTATTGTATTAGTTTTGTATGTTGAGGCAAGCTTGCATTTTTTCAGTAAGCCTAATATAGCTAGTGTTTGTTAAGGATTTTTCCATTGATACTTACATGTTATTGGTTTACTTTTTGGCGATGTATTTGGTTTCATTATCAGGGTAATACTGGCCTTATAGAATGAGTTGGGCAGTGTTCTCTTATATTTTAGAAGGATTGACTGACTGATTGATTGATTTTTACAGTACTGGGGTTTAAACTCCAGGCCTTGCACTTGCCAGCAGGCAGTTTACCACTTGAGCCACACTCTCAGCCCTTTTTGCTTTTTTAGGTATTTTTCAAATAGGATTTCGCATTTATTCCCGGGCCAGCCTGGGCCACCATCCTCCTATTTATGCTTCCTATATAGTTGGGATGACAAGTGTGCACCATGCCTGGCTTTTTTTTTTTTTTTGAGATGGGGTCTTGGGAACTTAAAAAAATTTTTTTGGCCTTGAACCACAATCTTTCCAATCTCCAGGATTATAGGGGTGAGCTGAAGGATTGGTATTAATCCTCCTCTCAGTGTTTGGTAGACTAGGTAATGAAGCTCTCTGGACCTGAGCTTGTCCTTGTGGGATAATTTTGATTATTAGTTCAATCTCTACATTGTATATTTGAGATATTTACAGAGAGAAGTAATAGATGTATTATCTCTGGTATTCAGAGTTTCTGTTTCTGTCTGAGACATTTATTATAGTTTGTGTCTTTCTAGGAATTTGTTCATTTCATTAGTTAGTTTTATTTTTGCAAGATTCATACTGATGTGCTTATTCTCGTTCCTGGTTTTGGTTTTAACTGACACATAAACATTACATATTTTTAGGTGCCATGTAATGTTTTGATTATTTATTAGCTCTAATAGTATTTGTGTAATGTTAAAATCAGGGTAAATGTATCTGTCTCCTGAAACTTGCAGCATTTCTTTATGATGAACATTCAGAATCCCTCTAGCCTTTTAAAAAATGTAGACACAGTACATTATTGTTACCTATACTGATTTTATTAATTTGAGGTTTCTCTCTTTTCTTTTTTTTTTTTTTGGCAATACTGGGATTTGAACTTAGGGTAGGGTCTCACATTTTTGCCTGGGCCAACCTAGGTCACAAATCTCCTATTTTATTTATTTATTTATTTATTTATTTATTTATTTATTTATTATTGGTGGCACTGGAGTTTGTACTCTTACCACTTGAGCCATTCTGCCAGCCCCTTTCTGTGCTATGCTTTCTGAGATACGGTCTCAAGAACTATTTGCCTGGGGCTGGCTTTAAATCCTGATCTCTACCTCCTGAGTAGCTAAGATTACAGGCATGAGCCACTGGAGTCTGGCACAAACCTCCTATATATACCTATTGCTTTGCTGGGATGACAGGTGTTGACAGGTGTGCAACACTATGCCCAGCTTTTTTTGTTGAAATGAGGTCTTGCTAACTTTTTGCCTGGGCTGGTCTGGAACCTCCATCCTCCTGATCTCTGCTTCCTGAATAGGTGGGATTAAAGATGTAAGCCTCCATGCCTGGCCTTCTCTCCCTTTTTTTGGTTAGTGCTAAAGATTTGCCAACTTTGTTAATCTTTTCAAAGAATCAACTTTTGACTTCACTAATTCTGTCTATAACATGTATAGGAAAAACTGTAGTAAGTATAGGATTCAGGCAGCTACTGGGGACTTGGGATATGTGTCTTTTATCATTACATCTTTTTATTTTCTATTTGGTGTGACATACTCCTGTTTCCCCTACTTCTCTGGACCTATTTGAAGTAGCTGATTTAAAGTCTTTTTCTGCTGAGTCTGTTTCCTCAGGTGTAGTTTCTATTGATTGCCCATCCCCCTGCTGTTTAATGACTATAGTTTTGTTACTCGTTTCCATGTCTTGTAATTTGAACTAATTCTGTAAAATTTGTATGTCTTTTTGTGTGTAGCCACTGAAATCTCTACTCATTTAGCTTAGTGATGAAAGCTAGTGATTAGGCTGAGACTTCCTTCAGTGCTTGGAGCCAGTAAGTCTCCTTATTTGCCATGGGACTGTGCAAATGGAGTGTCCCTTCTGTACTCAGTCTGGCAGTTGGCATCTCTGCCTTTGCATTTAGATCCTGCTTGCACAGATCCTAAAGGTCATCAGGGTTGAGAGCTTAGGGCTTCTCGGGTCTTTTTCTGGGCATGAGTTTAGCCCAGGGCATGAGTGTAGCCTAGATTCCCATGAGCTTTTCAAAGCCCCAGTGGCCATCTCAGTCAGTTTTTTTACCCTGTTAAGCTCTTTGGAAGCTTTATCACTTTCCCTAGCTTGTCCACCTTCTCTGGCACCTCTCAAATTAATCTATTAGTTCTAATTGCTTTTGACCAATAGTTTCAGGAATGGCAGTAGGGTGCAAGGCTTTAGTACTGGGCAGCTTAGAGTCTGACCAAATGAAGACAGCCTTTTAGTGGCTGCCAGCTGCTGGCTTCACACCGATGGCATGTTGTTGACAGTGGTATGGGGAGACAAGTCAAATCCCTATGAAGTTCTCTGTTCTTAGAGAGATTCGATTGTTTCTTTTTTAATAAATGCTCCCCAGATGACTGCAAGCCTTTGGTTAATTTCCAGGATTCTGACAAAGTTGATTCTGATGATTTTGCCCCACTCTTGATGCTTTGTGGGAGGAGAGATTTTTTGGAGGTCCTTTCTCTGCTGTTTTTGCTGATGACACCCAGGCTCTTCCTTTTGAGAAGACTTACATATATTACCATTCCTCTTCCTTTGCTTTCGACCAATTTTAGGTGTCTGGTTTTGTTTGTTTTACTTGAAGCTCTTAGATCTTTTTTTTTTTTCAGTTGTGTTGTGAAATTGCTCTGTGATCTGGCTCCATGTGAATCTTCCTTTCCCTTTGGACTGATCATTATTTCCTTTAAAACTTTTCTTCTCATCATTTCTGTATTCTCTTTCTAGTCACCGAATCAGGAGGATGTTGGGCCTCAGCAAATCTTCCCTGATTTTCTTCTTTCTTCTGTTTTTTTTAATCTCCTTAATGTTTCATTTTATTATTTTGGATTTCTATCACTTTAAATTCCTAGCCCTTCTATTAAATTTTTATTTCCATTATCGTAGAAATTTTCAGAAGTCATTTTATTATTCCTTTTCATAGTATAGTAACAGGAGTAATGTGTGTATGTGTGTCACTTTTTTCTTTTCTTTTTTTTTTTTTAAACGCAGATGGTCTTGTGTCTGTTGGCTTAGTTTTTTCAGTTCTTTGACCCTTAGGACTCACTTGGTTCAGAGTAAGTCCCTTCATCTGCTTTGTCTCTTAAGTTGTGCTATAGCTGTCCCTGCCCTCACCTTTCCCACCCTGTTTGATGTGTGTTAGCATGCTGGTCTGCAGCTGCTTCCCGTTGTTCAAGGTCATCTATTGCTGCATGGCTCCAGGTTCACTGAGCTCTCAGTGAAGTGCTGGGCTGGGGAGCCTGCTTTGCTTAGGAAATCTGTCCATTGATAAAAAGAAAAGGTCTTAGAGACCAGCAGCTCCACTCCTGCATATGTATCCCAAAGGACTGAAAACAGGCATTGAAGCAGAAGCTTGTATTCCATGTGAATGTTCATGATAGCACAATTCACAGTAGTCAAAATGTGGAACCAACCCATACGTCCATCAACGGATGAATAAGCAAACGGGATGTATTTTCATACATTGGAATATCATTTGCCAAAAGAGGAATGAAGTCTTACATTCTTTTTTTTTGTTTTTTTTGGCAGTACTGGGGTTTGAACTCAGGGCCTCTTACTTCCTAGGCAAGTGCTCTAACACTTGTAGCGCTTGAGCCATGCTCCCAGCCCTGGGAATGAAGTTTTGATGTATGTCACAAGGTGGTTGTTACAACATTGAAAACACTATGCGAAGTCAAAGAAACTACTTATAAAAGGCCACGTATTTTAGGACCATTTTTCTGTAATGTCAGCCAAATACAAGGGGACAGAAAGTAGATTAGTGGTTGCACAGGGTGTGATAGATAAAGGATCATTCATTATATACATATGTTAAAAGCATTTTTGTTAATGTGTGATAACTACAGTAATAATGTTTTAGGTAATAGAATCAATTTAGATTTTGTGATGAAAATGTTTATAGTATATTAAAAAGTAGGCCATAGAGTAGGTAGGAAAATAATTCATTAACTGTAAAGGGAAACAGTAAAAATAATATGTAAATAAATTACTAAATTCAATCTACCACATGATTATTTGAGTTGAAAAATAACAGGAATAACACAAAGACCTCTGTGTCTTACCACTCAGCTAGAAAGTTTTCCAGAGTTCTGTGTTGTAAAATGGCTTTTAGATATGACCACAATGAAGCGATTCTGGTTTTTCATCCCTAAAAATGAAAATTATACTGTTTTTTGTAATACGAGTAATTGTGAAAAAAGATTCAGAAACTGAAAACCCAAAAGAAGAAAATTACTCTCCAAATACAAAATTATATATATTAGTTCAGACTGTCTTTATGATATGATTTTTTAGAATTAGAATTATAAATGCTTCCTCCTAACTTTCTCATTGCTGCCTAACATTTTTATAGACATCTCTCCCGTCAATTCATATAGTTGTACATAATAGTTAAGTGCCTTAATGACATTCTATTTTGGAATGTACTTTGGTTTACTTAGTTAATCCCCTCTTTAGGTCATTATCCAGTTTTAGCTTAGAGCCGAGAAGGATTGTTTTATACTTTTCTGTTCATTTTCTTAGGATAAATATCTGGAAGTGGCATTGCTGGGTCAGAGTGGATTTGTGTTTTTAGTTAGATCCTAATTACCACATTGCCTGTAAGGAAGGAATGACAAATTGATTGTAATATCCAAGATTGGCTTAGTTGTTGTTTGCTATAATGCACCGTTAGTGGGTCTTCAGGAAATACACAAAGCCACAGCAGCAAATTATATATTAGAATGTCAGATATTAGAGGCATTGTTTTAGCTACACCGGTGAGGGCAGTGTTTGTGTTTGCATCTTGAAATGTGCAGTATTCATATTCGAAAGTAGCAGCCTTTCACTAGCAGTTAAGCTGTGACACAGTGTGTGTTGGCTGGTTTTCTGCTTGTGGGACTGAGCCACAGAGCGTGATTCTTTCTCATCTTAGATGAGTGACCGAGGAGGTGGTGTTCCACTGAGGAAAATTGACAGACTCTTCAACTACATGTACTCGACTGCTCCCCGGCCTCGTGTTGAGACGTCCCGTGCAGTGCCCTTGGTATGTCATCCAGGAAAATGGGGTGTGAGTTTATGCATTGCCTTCAGCAGGCTTTGGTTGCCAAATAAACCAGTTAAGCCAATTGTGTAGGGAGCTCTAGAAGAATGTAGGGAAGCTCTTAGAAACACTGTCCTCTACATTTAAACAGCCTTTGGAATCCTTTTTTTTTTTTTTTCTTTTCTTTTCTTTTTCTTTTTCTTTTTTGGTGGGACTGGGGTTTGAACCCAGGGTTTTGTTCTTGCTAGGCAGGCACTCTACCACTTGAGCCATACCTCCAGGTCCCCCCATCCCCCTTTTTTTTAAGTTGAAATGGTCATGGGCACATTTGTTTTAGATTTCTTTTTGCTAGACCTGGTAGTGATACAACAGCAGGTTTCCTGTGGTAAACCATATGTGAAACACTTTCTAATGTGAGAGATAAATTACTGGTTTTAATAGTATTCGTCAGTACTGATTTAATCTTTAACGTTGACTTTCTCTGCCAAGTATTGGTAATTAGGAAGATCTCTTATTCTAGACTCAGAAATAAGACTAAAATTCTGATCTGCTTAATCTCCAGTCTGAAATAGGCTCGAATTAAAATTATTTTGATGTTTTTTAAACTGATTTTAGTGTCAGCTATTTTCAATGCTTAATAGGATCTTTTTTTGTTTGTTTGTTTTTTTGCTTATGGAATGGCTCAAGTGGTAGAGCCTAGCAAGCATGAGGCCCTGAGTTCAAACCCCAGTGCCATAATACACCAAAAAAAAAATCACTTTTTAAATTGCCTGTCTTTATCCTTATCCCCCAACTCCCTAAAAAGCTCTGTTCTTCCAGGCTTTGAAGCTGGTATTTGAAGTGATTGTTTGAGTTTTGTGCTTCTAGGAGTGGGCTGCCATGGGCCAACAGGCAGGTGATGTCACATGATAAACACAGACGTCTTCTGAGACTTCTCATTTTACCAAGCTACAACAAGAGAGAAGGGAGATGCTGCTTTGATAGCAAACAGCTATTAAAGAATTAATGTAGAGGAGCTTGGTGAACTAGTCCAGACTTGGCTCTACACTATTGGTCCCACTTCCAGCTCTAGCATATCCCAGAAGTGTGACCATGGGAGCCTAACTTGAAAAATGGAGTTATCGTGAGGGCAAAGCAAGTTAATATGTGTATGTGAAAAATGCCTTTTGCTGTGCTTGGCGCATATTAAATGCCATCTAAGCATTTGACATTTTAGGATACAAAATTTATGTGAATTTTTAAGAAAACAAGAGGCTTGACATGGAACAGGCTCCCTTATATGTCTGTACAGCCTTGACCAGGGCAAGACTATTTCTATCTAGGCTCTTGTCTGCTGATAAGACTACTTGGCAAGTGGACCCAGGCAGGAAGCACTGGGGAAGCTGGAGAAAGGATACCTGATAGTCACAAGAGGGGCTGTCTTGTCTACCTGATTACTGAGAACTTCCACCATGTGGATGCCTTCTTGGGGGAGGGGGCGGGCATTTGCAAGGACATACCATCTTCATATTAGAAGTTCATTCAGAGAGGAACACTCACATATCTCTTTGCCAGGCTTGCTCTTCAGTTACCAAGTTTGTTCTTTCCAAGTCACTGGCCAGCCAGCCTGTTTGCCACTGCCCATGTTGGCATCCCTGTCTTTTAGGTCTGCCCCATCCAAGAGGGTTACAGTGAAGGGTGGTCCACAATGGGCTGGTACGAGTACATGGGTAGGTTCATCTGTGGCCTGGACCTATGCGGTTTTTCTTATCTGCTAACTATTCAGAGGAGAAGTCCATGAGTCCACAGTCCACAAGTGTGGACAAGAGAGAGGCAGTGATAATGTATGTAGGTCAGGTACCTTGGGAGCATAACAGCCCCCCTCACCCCATGCAGTTTTCTTGGGGCCACTTCTGGAACCAGTTAATGTATCCGTCAGAAGCCCACTAGGGATGACATGTAGCTTACTCAAATTAACGATAATCAAGAAGGGCTTGTTTACAAAGAAACTAGGTTCCAGTACTGCCCTAACCCATGCTTTATGATAAGTCTTTTTGTAAATAGGCCTTCTTTATTACAAAGCTGGCACCAGCCTGGATCAAAGGGATGAGGAAAAGGTAAAGTTAGCAGAACCCAGAAGAAGGGAAAGTTGCAGAGTGGCTGTTTACTCTCAAGGAGTCCTCCTGTCCAAGGCATGCTCATGGGGAGGAACCAGGGGGAATGAATACCCTACTGTGACTCTTTGACCTCCTGCTGGCTCCCCAGTGGTAGGAACCTCTGGAAGCAGAGGCATAATCCATTCAGTTTAGCCTCCCAGGGCAGGAAGAAATGTGGAAATTTGATAGTTGATTTGTAGAGACAAATAGAAACTTTGGTTAGAAGAGTGAAATAATAATTGGTGGAAGGTAAAGCCAGAGCCTAGGTTTGTTAACAGCACTCTGATTTCTGAGCTGACCTAAACTCTAACTAACATACTGTATGGAATGCCATTAAACATATGATTTGGTAATAGAAACCATTTTCACCTTCATACAAATGTTTTTGTATTTAAGAGTTAGTAGGATTTATCCAGGTAAAGAAGGACCAGAGTGTACAAGACCTAGGAGTGCTTTAGGTCCTTAAAAGGGCAGGAGCTGTGGTTCTGCTAGATGGGAAAGTGGGAGGCAGAGACCTCATCTTCTCCAAGTCTTAAAAGCTCTGTTAGAAAGTTGGGTTTTTATCTCAAAGGCAGTGAGTGGAGATGGGGGAAGTATTGGTATGCTTTGAAGACTTTTGAGCAAGGAAGTGACCTGTCAGTGAGAATTAAGAAAGTAGACCTATTACAGATTATCTCCAGGTTCAGAACACAGGATGGAAATTAATGGTGTGAAGTTATGAGATCCATTTATTGCAGCTGCAACAAAGGCTTTTCTGTTCCTGCTCCTAAAACGAATGACATGTTTCATATGAAACCCTACTTGATACCATGTTTCATGTAGAGTACCAAAAGCAGTATTGGGGTACCCTAAAGCAGACCAGCAGAGAAAAGCGACATGCTTTTTTCAGACCACCACAAGGAATATAGAAGGAATAGAGTTTTATTTATTTTGCAGTCCTGGGCTTAAACTCAGGGCCTGATCCTTGAATCACTCCACCAGCCCCTTTGTTTGTAAAGGGTTTTTTTCAGATAGGGTCTCTTGAACTATTTGCTCCAGTTGGCTTCGAACCGAGATCCTCCTGATCTCTGCCTCCTGAGTTAGCTAGGATTGCAAGTGTGAACCACCGGCACCCAGCAGGAATAGACTTTTAAATGCCCAGAATGAATCAGCTAATGTGCTCAACTGTTCTCATTTTAATCACTACTAATACTTACCAGCTCTCTCAGATTCAGGCTCTGATAGCCCTGGGGCATTTATCTTAATTAGAAAAGTATTTCAGCTTGTTGCTGTCTGAATAATTTTTTTTTTCCTCATCAAACAGGCTGGTTTTGGTTATGGACTGCCTATATCACGTCTTTACGCACAGTACTTCCAAGGAGACCTAAAGCTGTATTCCTTAGAGGGCTATGGGACAGATGCAGTTATCTACATTAAGGTAATAACTATATAGTTTTCTTGATTCAGTCCTGTTTCTTTTGATGATTAAAAAGATGCCAATATTTAACTCTCCATTTTTAATTGGAATTTTACTCTACCTCGTGCTGCTTAATAAATATAAAAACATTTATGTGGGATCTCGTCTGTTTTGATAGTAGATCTTTTCCCTTGACTGAGAAAAAAATGTACATTCTTACTGATCATGAACAGGACTGTGGTTATTAATAGGGAAAAACTGGGTTAAAGAGCAGAATCATAAAGTTATATCAATTTTTATATGCAGATATGAATGGACATTGATCCACTGATTTTTTTGAGGTGCTGCCAAGGCCTTTGCTTTGCATGTGGATCTGCAGATGGGAGCATCACATTGTCTTTCTTGCATAAGCTATATTTAAAATGCATTATTTTAGTTTCTTTAAACAAAGAAGCAACCAAATGCATAATCTTATGGGGTTTTCTGCAATCCTTTACAGATGTCTTCTGACTCTGATTTGACAAGTTTCTACTCAACTCCTTTCCAAAACTTTTATCTTAGTTTTTAAAGACACCCTCTTCTTTTTGTTGTGCTTTATTTGTGTAATACTTGATTAAATGCATAGTGACAGATGTTATCGCATAAACATATTTGGGGACAAGTGCAGATGACTCTTGGTAAGTATATTGCTTACATGGTGGAAACAGAAGAATTTAGCTTGCTGGCTTGGAGTGTTCGATGCATTCAGGAAGGGATCAGTGTATTTTACAGGTTTAGGAACGCCTAGGCCCCATCACCGGTTAAGCAGTGGGTGCCTAATTTTTAGTGGCTCTCATTTCTTGTTCTAGCCACTAGGTGGCACCTATTTTATAGGAAATGCTAAAAAATTTATATGAGATTTGAGATTTCTTTTTCTGAGGGGGGGAGGTGCTGGGGTTTGAACTCAGCTTTGTGTTTGCTAGATAGGTGCTCTACCACTTGAGCCATGTCTCCAGCCCAGGAATTTATATGAGAAAAAAAATTATCTGAAAAGGTTAAATCCTTTATAGGTAATAATTCTTAATTCTTTGTTTTCGTCTCTTTTTCTTTTTTTCATCATGCATTTGTGAGTCACTTAAGAAGGGCAACATCAAAGCAGTATTTTTTATCCCCAAATGTAACATTTTGATCCAGCATTTAGATTAAGAAATTTTAGAAAATTTAAAGAAAGCATATAGGTAAAGTTTTAGTTCCCTTTTTGAAAAAAAAATAGAATAAGAAGTTTTACATTAAAATCATCAATATTAAAGCATTATCAGAAGGAAATTTCTAGTTCAATATTGTGTACATCTTGGGGCATGCCAATGGCCTGAGTTGAAATTCTGCAAATTCATGACTCAAAGAAGATAAGAAGGAACATAATTTATCTTAGGCTCCAAAACAAAAAAACCCTATAGAATCAAACTAAGGGGCCAAGAATTATTTATGCAATAGCCAAGATGCAATGGATAGAGTTTTCTGTTTACTGATAGTAATATTGTTTTGGTACTTTTTAAAAGTACAGTGATTATAAAGTGGAAAAGACATTTCTTCTAGTAAGTAATTATAATCTCATTAAATTTATCTATTTATCTGTCTGTCTGTATATATGGTAAATTTTAATGCTTTTTACACTTAATTTCTCCCAGCTTCTTCCAAGTAGGCAACTTTTGGTCTGGCTTATGTTATGTAAGAGGTGTCTGCTACACATTTTAAAATTTCAGTCTGGCAGCTTCCATTCTGCCTAGAGAATTATTGCAAGCAACAAACTCAGTGTGTAACAGATAACTTGGTTCAAATATACACTTTTAAGAAATGTGTGTAGGTGATATTATGATTAATAAGATACTAGCAGAATATTGAGTCATAGTCATCTTTTTTGTCATTATATTTTTTTCTCAAATAATGAATTCTTAGAAATGCAGTGGATAATACCTCTAATCTCAGCTACTTAGGAGACAAAGTCAGGAGGGTCATGAGTTCATGGCCGCCTGGGCAAATGTAGTGGTGAGACCCTGTCTTAAAAACAGTATTTTAAAAAGGGCTGTGATGTAACTCAAGTGATGGAGTGCTTGTCTAGGCAGGGCAGGGCCCTCGGTTTAATCTCCAGCACTGCGGAAAAAAAGAAAAGAAAAGAAAAATGCCAGACTTAGAGGTACTGCTTTATTTTTTCAGGCTCTGTCAACAGAATCGATCGAAAGACTTCCTGTGTATAACAAAGCTGCCTGGAAGCATTACAACACTAACCATGAAGCTGATGACTGGTGTGTCCCCAGCAGAGAGCCAAAAGACATGACAACATTCCGTAGTGCTTAGATGCACCCAGGATACCTGAAAAGTCCAAGTGTGATTTTGTTCAATTGGAAGGGGTGGTATTCAGAACTGCATTTCACCAAATACTTCATATGTCATTTTCACAGTTAACTCTTGGGTAGACTAAATGGGACCTAATTCCATTCATGCCTGCTAAACCTCCTGATGGGTGAAATTACACCTGTTTTACACTGATGTTCTCAGTTATCTGGATATATTTTTAAGCAACTGTAACTTTTGCCAACTTTCCAATTGGCCTCTGACGTGTGGAGTCTTTGAGTTTCTATCAGAATCTGGGTAGTTTTTTTTTTTTTTTTAAATAGTTTCATTTATATCTACTAGAAACATTTTCTAAAGATGACTGGTTAGCCCTCTTTCTGTTACTTGAAGGAGTTCTACAACCTTGATTGAGTAGTGACATCTAAGGTGAGCTTCATGTTTACTAGTAAAGCAGAACATGGTTAAGTGTAAAACCAGCTGCCTTTCAGCATCTGTGTGCATTGTTTAGCTCTGAAGTTAACTGATTGTTTTCTAATCTTACTGCAATGGATTGTAATGACTTGTTCCTTATGGATCTATACCAAGATCATGGGCAGTCTCTTCTGAGTGCTTATGATTAATTCAAGGGAAACTTTCTGCAAAGAGCAAATATTAAAATTATAGAGAATAAATTAAAGGCAAAGCAGTGACCCCCCCTCCCCCCAAAACTGAATTAACCTTCTGCTCAGAGCACCTGAGCAAGCTTTTGGGAAAAAAAAAAAACTCCTGAGGGAATTTTTCAGAATCCTACTCTGGACATACTGAGGCAAAATCCCCAGGGCTGGAGCCCAGCGATCTCAATGTCTAGAACACTAGGTGAAACCACTCTTTAAAGTGAATAGTGATGCCCTGTCTTGTCAGAGTGACAGAGAAATTGTTATATTCTGGTTACCACATATTTAAAGGTCAGATTTCTAGACTGGGAGAAACCAACTGAATCTTAGGCCTGGTACAGTTCGAATCATAATTAGAAGCAGGAGGAAAAGTTGACTGTAGGAGAAGAGTCAGGTAACCAAAGGGTCACTTTGTTTTTAGTTTAAGTGGTGACAAAGGATATGTATTATTCTTAAAAAAAAAAAAAAAAAAAAATCCAGATTTTGTTATCAGGGAAAAGTCAGTTTGGGCTGATTACCACAGAGCTTTGCATTCATGTGGTCATCTATAGTTTACGAATTATGCTTTGAAGGACTATAACTTAATTGATCTTCAGAATACAGAGAAACAAAGCAGGTGGTATTATCTGAGTTTTCACTCAGGGTGATCCAAAGTCATAGAACCAGAGCCTAACCATTCCTGCTTATCAACTAGCAATTTCAGGGACTGAAGTTCTTACCTCATCTTCTTGTAAGGTGACTGGGAAATACAATTGAAAATACATTTTAAAGTAAAAATTTAAGGTTCAGAATACAGCATTGTCACTTAGGAGCTTTTTTAAAATCTGGGAAATATATTAAGTTGAAACACCTTGCTGTTGAAAGGATTTATGGTTACCACAGTATGTCCCATAAATACGTATATTTTAAATAAAGCCAAAATCACACAACATGGCACAAAAGGGAATTCTTGTACCTGTCAGAAGAGAATCACAAGCACACAGGTGAGGTGCTCCCGAGGGGCAGTTTGCTCAGTCCCCTCATGTCCAGGTGAGAACCCTGAGACTCAGGGCTTGTGGTCCAGGGCTTCTGAGACTCTCTATCTTACCTACTGGTCCTAACTGTGAGTTTTATGAGAAACAGTAGACTGTGGGACTTATATTAGATCAATATGTTATAGTTTTCAACTTTAAATTTTCTTATAACGATGAAATATTTTAGAATGTTTTGAGTTAAAAACATTCACTTTCCTAAATGAAACATTTGTACAGCTAACAAAAACTTGATGTTTTTACTTATGAAATTCTCTTTCATCCCCAAGAAAATTAAAGTTTTTCCCTCCATATTTAAGAGCTAAGAAATGGTGTTTTCAAAGGAAAAGTAAAATTATTTTCCTTTTAAGGTGTAACAGTTTTTACTTTGTTATTGCAGTAATGAACAGAAAATTGTGTACAAAAATATTATGGGAGCACTTTTTCCTAGTTGGTTTTAAATCGTTGAGCTACCTGAAAGGTTTTTAGATTCTTGCATAAGCTATTTTGTCTATCAGCATTAATTTTACACAGTGTAGATATAAAAATGTATTGATGCACAGTGTGGTGCACACCTGTAATCCCAGCACTAGGGAGGCTGAAACAGGAGGATCCTGTTTGAGGCCAGCCTGGGCTACATACTGAGACCCTGTCTCAAAAAACTAAAACTAAAAATATATCATAGACCAAGAAGTAGACTTTTATAACCTGGGCTATTAGTGAATGTGCCATTGTATTTTAGGAAGGAATAACAAAATATTCTGAAATGCTGTCTTGGTTGGATGACTTCATACTAATAGTGATTGGTTTCTTGCACTGTGAAGTTTTACATGAAGATATTGAAGTGAAAAGTTACCATATTATTTCATAAAAGGTTTTCTGTATGGCAGTATATTAAAACATGGATCAGTTCTTATCACTAGGTTTTTAAAAATGTAATCAGGTCTTTTAGAACTTTCTAGAGTTTCATTATGAAACATACTGCAGGTGATTGACTTTTATTACATAGACAGATTTGTTGTGTGATTTTGAAAAGTTACAAATAAATTTGAAATTTGAATAACTTTCCATAGTAAAAGCAATTGTAGGAAAGGACTTAATTTAACCAATACTACCTTGTATGCACACCAGTGGAATGTCAGAACCAAACTTCCTACTCAAAGACAGATCCTAGCCTATTCCCTGGTGAAAGGATGTAGGCACCACAACTTCCTTTGGAAGCCAGTAAGCACCATAACAGAACTCTATGGGGCGGGGGGAAACAATTTGTTTTATGGTGCCACTGTGGCTGTGCAAATAGCTCATCAAAAAGAAAAACCCATCAGTTAACCAGTTTTAGTTTATGTCTTAATATGGGAAGCTTCGAATGATGGGTAATCAGGATTGGGTTAGGTAATTTGCAAACGTGGCTTGTGCTGGAGGAACTTTTCATTCTGAGTGATCAACTTCTGGCTCCAGTAGTTAATTTTCTTACAGTCAAACCCACTACTCTGAAAAGTAATGTAACTAATGCTGGGTGAAGGGTTTTGTTTTGTTTTGTTTTTCCCTCATGTTGAAAAAGAACACACTCTCGGTTGATTAGTTTTGGTGGTGTTAAACTACTGTGCCATGCATTCTGTATACATGTTTGGAAAGAACTAAGCATATCACACTGCCCACTTTATTCTAGAGTTTTCACATCTCTAATAATAGTTAACCATAGGCTTTTACTAGCAAAAGATTGTCAGTTCTGGGTGCAAAACTTTAGTCTTTTTTGTTGACTTTTAAGCTATTAACTTGTATTGGCAAATAGTAACAGCTCTCTTTTGCTTTGTTAGATTAGAGATTCTTGGGGAAAATATAACTGGTTTTAATGCCAGTAAGATAAACTTCCATGTGAGCGTTGTCTTCTTCCAGGAATTATTTTTTGAGAGAATAGAAGCATGTTCAGAGAATATTGTCAGAAATTTGTAACTGTGATTGAAATGTTGCCATTTGCTTATAGGAAGTTAAAAATGCTAAAAAGTTCCTTTAGGAAAGTTTTATGAGACCAGAACATTTCTAAGTTTAACTCAAGTATAAAAACTATAGTAGTCTTGTCATGATTTTATATTTAGTTGTCTCATTATGGGATTAGACAGTTATACTATATAGTAACATATAAGAATACAGTTTTCAGTTATAGTACTGTATGAACATACATTATGGTATGAAATTATTTGTCCAAAAATGGAACCTGTATGATTCTATAACTGAAATATAATGGGGAAAGAGGAAAATACTCATTTATTTTTTAATATTATAGTATAAAAATTTCGGATTTAATTTGAACTGTTTGTTTTCATTTTTTTCTTACTATCTCCCCTACTGCCCAGTCTTCAGAGGGCACTTAGAAGTATATGTTTAACAAATGCATAATTATAAGGAATTTAATAACAGTACATCCATTCTCATGACATCTTAAGACAAATCAGGCCCACAAGGAAAACTATGGATAATGACCAATACAAGGAAAACTGATGAAAGTGTGATATATAGAAGAAAGTGAGTACTTAGAGTAACAAAACAGCACTGCTAAAGCTGTGGGGTTATTTTACAGTACAAAGAAATAAGTAAGCAAACACTTGTGTACTACTGCAGATGCAAAACCATTAAATTTTGCTGATAACCCCAAGGGTGACATCATTGGACACCCCTCTTGAATAGCATATTCCTGTGACTAAATGGGCCCATAGTCATAATTCATGAAAATGTGATGCTTGAGAGAAGAAGACAGGCTAGTTAAACAACAAATGACTACCCTCGTTCTGAAGAGCTAGGAAATACTGATGAGAGTATAATGACCCCAAACAGAGATTAGATGCTTTAATAAATCCAAGCTTTTGCCTGTACTTTGTGGAAGGTAAAATCTGCCTAGGTCTCTCTCTTAGAACTTACTCACTCTCGGCATCCACAGAGGGCTGAGAGAATGTCCTAAAGGCTTATCTTTGTGGACGCCCACAATCTTTTGAATGGCTTTTCTGTATTTTAGTGAATCTCCATTTTACCAGTGTTGCTTCCCCAGTTACCTTCGCTGCTGGGATGCAGACCATAACGTTGGTGTTGCCAATTAGAAATCTCTGCACTGAGCAACATGAAGAAAACTTGTGTGTGGCTTCCCATGCATGAGTTGTGGCATAAATATCTGGCTTTCAGGGGGCCTCATGGTTGTGAGGTTAGGTTCCTGATACAGAAATGGCATTGGTGCTGATGTTACTGGCTGCAATCAAGTCAAGTTTCTAGATCATAGTACATAGTGGTGGTGGTAGAGACGATGGTTGTAGTTTCTTAACTGTTTTTTTTTTTAACTTTTTTTCATGTTGAAATGAAATTCACATGACCTGAAACTAACCATTTTAAAGTATAATTCAGTGGCCTTCAGTACATCCACAGTTTTGTGCAGCCACCACCTCTATCTGTTCATCACCCTGCAAGGAAACCCTGGATCCCTTAGGCAGTGTTAGTTTCTTTATCATGTCAGGTTGTCAGGTTTGTTTTGTTTTCTTTTTGGTCGTACTGGGGTTTGAACTCAGGGCCTCAGGCTTGCTAGGTAGGTGCTCTACCACTTGAGCCACTCCACCAGCCCATCATGTCAGGGCTTTTGTTTTTTTCCATCATGTCAGTTTTATAGCATGATTTGGTGTGTCTGTCTTGGAAACTTAGCCTGGAGTTTTCTTCTACAGTGGCATAATGATAGGTGGAAATATTAAAAAGTAAATCTGTAGAAACAGGTTGTGCCTCAACTACCTTATGGACATACTGTCTTCAAAGTAATATTTTAAATTAGCCAGAGACTAATGTCAACATGCTTACGTTTTGAGTCCAGAAATTGAGTGCATTGGGTTTTGAAACAAAATTAAACAATTGTGAGAGTATAATTGGGTAAGTTACATGAATTCTTTCCAAAATTCCTGTCATTCACGCTTATTTCTGAATGTAGTTTGAACCAGCCTAGGATTATAGTTTCAGCATGCCTTCAGTTATCTGCCACTCCTGTGTCAAACCTGTGTCAGGTCTTAGCCATTGGCCTGAGACAAGCTGGCTCATTTCGTTCTCAGTGCCAGCTCTGCAACCATAGGCTGTCGCATCTTGTTGAACCCTGTGTTCTAATGCTGAAGTGGAGCGGGATAGGAAAGACAGTTAGGTGATGCTGAGCCCGAAACTGTGACTCTGTGAATGAGGCTGGGCCAACTCAGTCTGGAGCAGTCTTAACACTGGAGAACAGGTTTCAGGACAGCAGCAGACAAGTGCCCTGAAGGACCCAGCAAGCAGTAGGGGAAGAAAGAGGAGCAGTGGGTGGGGAACCAGTGTAGTAATAATTGACAACTGACATTTGGAATCTAAAACTTCCAGTTCAGAACAGTTCTTTATATACAGTGTATACTCACCCTCCAAGACAATTTGGGCAATTGTCTAGAAGGAATAGTTTCAGTTTTTTAAAAATTAT